GAGAAAAATGCTAATACGTTCTCACGATTAATCCCATGTTTGTGGTGTGATAAGGAAGAAATAACTAGGTATAAGAATGGTGTTAATGGAGGACAGCACACAGGTGCATCTGGACACTTTGAGTGACAGGTCTGTGTGGGAGACTGTACAACGCCACAGTAATCATTTAATTCTTCAGCTGCGTGGGTTTTAGTTGAACTCAAACCAGCATCACTGCACAGCTGCCTGCTGCTATTCTTCTTTCCCATACCAACTACAGTATCTATAGTATCAGGAACAAAGTTAAGTCCCCAAATGTGCATGGATAACTAGGGGCTGCAGTCTTCTTATCTGGTTTTGCACCGCTGTCAAGTGGAGCGTAAAGATGTCCCTTGGGCAAGTAGACAGCAGGAAGAGTCTGTCTCACCCTGCAATACTTTGGTTGCGCACAGCCCACTGACAGTCTTGATCATCACAATTAAGGCACAGTGGCCGCTGTGGCTTCCACTTTGTCCTCCGCAGGAGCTGACTGCCAACTTTAGGCCACAGTGGTGTGATAATAAGTGCACAGCTTCGGCCAGCTCCAATCAGGGTTACAGCGATCCAGCCAACCTCTATTTAAGATGGCGCCAGCACCCCAAGTGTAGCATGACAGAGGGAGGGAACTGTAATCTCATCACCATTAGCCCATGATGCCTAAAATAAAGACATTATTTCCCAGAACATAAAGCACACACTTTACAAGGGTGGAGGAATAGAGGCTCGGTAGATAAGAATGTTTGGCTTCTCGGTTATAACCTCATCTTATGAGTTCAAAGATTGAGACTGACAGGCCAAAATTGTTCACAACGAAATAACAGAGGATTAAAATGATGTGTATTAAGAAACTGGAGATTTCTAGAGATGATTGTGGCTCTGTTAAATGTTTTAGTTCTCAAGAAGTTTAAGATAATTTTGCATTAAAAGGGCTTTCTGCTCTTGCACATTAGGTTTAAATGGTATTTAATGGCATCCAATACGATTGGCAGAATAAAACCGCTCCTAATCAGAATGCATTAGTTCCCTGTGAAATCTCCGCTCCCTGAAGCAAATGGCAGAGCCACAGACAAATCCCGCTCGATCCTACCTTAATGTCCTTTATGTTGAGAAATGCGCGGAAGAGAGCAATTATGTGTTGGGTGAATGTTTGTCAGATGTGTGTGCGTCACCGTGCAACAGTCGGGTGCTGGATGTGTTTGTGCATTTCAAATTTGGCCCGAAGGAGCGTTAACGGAGGAAAAGGATGCACATCAGCAGGAGGTAAAGCTCTCAACACAGCAGCAAGACTCAGGGCCTGAGGTCAGCAAAGTGACATGCCAGGCTAAGGAGATTACAACCAACCAAAGGCTGCACTCATCAGTGGACACTGGCCAACCAAACACACTGTCAACACACAGTTAAAGCGGTGGTGGCACAACATAACAGAGGTGTGTGGCATCTCTGAACCCTGTGGAAATTTAGTCTGTTGCAGAATACCAAATCTAAGGCTTTGAATATATGAATGTGTGGTAACAATGAATTAAAGATTATGTAAAATATAAGCCATGAACATAACCATACCATAATTACAATATGTATTTAGAGATCAAATGCTCCTACTGATGTGTCACCAGAGGAATTCAGCAGTTCTGGGTCCCGGTCGACTGTTTCCCGGCCCATTCTAAGGATTAGTCCAAATGTCTGAGTCTGAGTGATTACTGAAGATGCTGATTGGATTTTGTAGTTCCGATTGTGAGACAGTGATCATCAGTGCTGTGCTCTCTGAAGAAAGCTGAGTAACAACAACAAGGTGATGGAGCATATGTGTGTGTCATCCTGCTCCTCTAGCAGTTGATGGGGTGAGAGGATGATGTAATCTAATAACAAACACTGCTGGGAAAATGGCCAGTAATAATGAATCATGATTCCTCAGCCATTAGTATGTTTTTTAAATTACTCCGGGAAAAAATCGTGACTCTTTCCAGAATATTTCGCAGTTTTAAACAAACCACAAACATTTTACCCGCCCTCTTTGTGCACTCCTCTTAAAGTGCCAGAGTGTCAAACAATTCAACACAAAGAGACTAAGCTTTGGCTTTCAATCTACCAAATCCTTTTCCACTCATCTACCAACTTTCCCACCCAACAAAAACTCTAAGATTCATTTTAAAAAAGGCCACCAAGCTGGCATGACATGTGCCCCTGTGGCCTAGATAGTCAAAGCACTGATTGCTGCTGCAGTTTAACACATCCTCACCATGTTGTTTTGGCACTTTAGTTAAGTATTGTCAAGCCTGATGCTAAAAGTGAAGTCAGTGCCTGAGGACACAGCTCTCACACATTTGTTTCTATCCGACACGGCTCCTGTCTACTGGCTGGAAAGAAAAAGAGAAATAATGAGTAAACTTGTGAGCTGACTAATATCACAAGGTTCACAGTTACACTAGACACATTCCTAATGTACTTTGTGATCTCCAATGAACGTGACAGAAAATAATAGTAACGCCATCTGCTGCCTCGTTCTAAAGTTTGTGTTTGTCTGGTAAGGCCGAGATGTTACATAACAAACCACCCCACTTGTAGATCTAAAACGGCGACTATGCCAAGCTCATCGCAGGACATGGCTGTTTCCGATGGGGCCTCTGTGTACTCATACTCTCTCTCAGTATTGTAGATCTGGGAAGTCTCCAAAAGCTCCTGCCAGAATACCAAATGCCAGATCGCCGCCTTGAAAGGAGCTCCAAGCAGAGGGACAAGCTGGTGTCCAAGAAAAGGGAAACATCTTGTGCTGGGCCTAATTACTTCTGCTCCCAGATTACACAGTTTTGACCTTTCTCAGGCTTTCAGCGCAGAGTCTGATTGGAAGTTAAGGAGAACAGCATTGATGTTCACAGCACTGTTAATTATATTTAACGCAGAACACAGGCGGGTGCAACTGTAGCTCTGTACTACCCACTGAATATGTTTACGTGTAATCTATTAATTGAATTAATTGTACCTGTCTTTTATTCCATGTTTAATGTCTTTCTTTGTCCTCACAAAAACCTCAGCGGAACAAATTGGTTACAATCCAAACAAAAGCATGTTTTTTTCATAAAAACTAAAAACAGATTAAAAATTGCCCTAACCAGTAAGCAAGAGGCATATCCATCATATCTGTAAAAGCTGCAATAGCAGCTGCTTAGAGGAGTTAACTTTGTTTTTCATGAACATATGAGAAATACATCAACTTAAGATTTATTACTACTGTAAACTGACTTGAAAACCTGCATTGTTGTGCAATCTAGTCCACATTATTTTTGTGGCCACTTTTCTGGTTCTGAAATAGGAAGATGATGCCCTTATTCTTTATCCATCTGATGTGAGATCTTGGCCATGAGCCAAAACCTGGGGCAATTAATACAGATGTAACCATGACACTAATTCAACCATATTTACGTGGATAACTTGATAACTTTCTCTAGTTCTAAAGTTTGTCATCGTTAATTACAGTACTTCTGGACTAGACTGTCAGCTCATTGTTTGACAAGGCTTCTGGCCATTCATGCTGCCATTCGAAAACAAATGATAAAAATGACTGTTCATCAACGATTTGTCTCCCTATTCCTCCATCAGATAGAGTTTATAAATCAACTGCAGTCTGCATATAAACCTGCTCATTGATTTAGAGCATTCAAGGTAGATTGAGCTTGCCGTTGTCAAAGATGCACTTTTAGAAAGGCGTGAGAGGTCGGGGGAATGAATAGGCCATCACACTGATACAGTCTCTGCAACCAAAAGCAGAGATAATGCAGTGTGGTGGTCTGAGCTGCAATGAGGGAGTGTAAACCTTTCATAACCGCACAGCTGAGTGTCAGCCACCAACATTTTGGTCTGTTTCTCATCAAAAAGCTCACCGTGATGTTTGCCAAGAAAACTGGATATCTAATGCTTTTTTACGTTACCTGAAAACAGCTCTGAATATCTACTTTAGTAAGGGCAGACTTCAGAAATAAGACAGACTACATAACATTAGATTGGAATGTGTTTCTATGCATACTGGAGCAAAGAAGGAACAGGATTAGGAGATTTGTTTCACAGTTATTGGATTTTGGCTCTGTGGGAATGGAATTATCCAAACAGTGAGAGGAAAGCAAACACCGAACCAGCCCTGTTAAAGAGGAAAACATGACTCAGTGTAAACACATATGACGCATTAACATGTGGAAGTTCATCAAAGTCACTGTCATGAAAAGATTACTGGCTCATTAAGGGTTTTTAAGAAATTTAAGTGTTTTTTTCCCCTTCAATTCAACAAACACTGGTGTATTTAAATTTCATTCATTGCTGAGTCAAGATCTCTTCATGAAAACAAAACATCTTTTTTTCTTTTTTTAAGTATTTTTGTGCCATTTTGGGGCCAAATTCAAAGCAGAGACACGACAGGAAACACAGGGAGAGAGATTAAGGGTTGACATGCAACAAAGGTCTCCTGCCAGACTTGAATCGCGGATGTTGCATTTTATCTATAATGCTGATAAAACACAAATAAACTCTAATACATTTCTGTATGTATGTTATTTTACTTTTTCTGAAATATTTCTGGAATTTATATTTGTAATTTAAACTAACCACAGCAGGCAATATAAAGGCAAATTTGACATTTAATCCTGTGTGGGAAAAAAAAGAAAAAACTTTGCTTCAGAGAGGTGTGACACTGAACTGAACTCACAGATGAGTCAGGTAATGTGGGCATCAGAGAGGGAAAGGTAAATTAGATATGTCTCATTCCTCACCACCTACTGTGCTCAAAGTACTCATAAGCTAAGCACAGAATCTCCACACTGCTTCAGTGGAGATGCTCTGTGGCAGTAAAGGGACTGAGGCTGAACTGTCTGGGCAGCTCCCACGGGGTCAGTGAGTGCAACTGCCTGAATGTGGCGCAGAGTACTGACGGGTTTTAAGAAAATGTCAGCCTCACCCTTGCTAATGAGCTGTCACAGTGTGTATGTGCTACAGCTGACCTGTATCTCCTCGTAAGCCTCGTCAATAGTGGTCACTTGGTGCTGCTCGTGTAGTGCTGGCTCGTCGCAGAAGAAGCACACCAGACTTTTATCAGTGAGGCAGAAGAGCTTGACCTTCTCGTGGTCCTTGCAGGGATAGGAGCTCCTCTGAGCGTTAAGGATGGCGTCCAGCGGGAAGGCCGAGTAGCGCTCCACAATGTTGGACAACTTGAGACTCGGGGAGAGGAGAGGATCGGTGAAGGTCCTCCGGCACTCTGGGCAGTCTCGTGTTCCGTGAGGCTCCTGTCTGCTCCAGTGCTCGGTAATGCACTTTCTGCAGAAGTAGTGCTCGCAGCCAAAGCTGACCGGGTCCTGGTAGATGCTGAGGCAGATGGAACAGAGGAGCTCGTCCTTCAGACAACAAGCCATTTGCAAAGGTGAAGACTGAGCGGCATCTAAGTGGGCAATGCTTTGGAGCTGAGGGTGGTTTAATCTTCACTTGAGAGGTTCACTGCCATGTGGGAGTTGACTGACAAAATCTTCAGGAATCTTGGGATTTCACCTTTATCGTGTCTGTTGAAACATGACAAATAACAACAATAAGATGCCACTAATCTTTTATTAGTAGAGAATACTAGCACCTATCACATGGTCTAATACACGTATAGCAGAGAAATCATTAACTGGAGAAGATTCTTGTGGTTACACATTGACAAAAAGGATGTCAATGACAGCCCATTTAACATACAGAAGATTTCAGTGTGCTGTCAAAACTGGCTGTCACTTCGCACAGCCAACACTGGTAAAACCTGGGTTTGAAAGTAGAGGTGTAAACTGTTTAATTGATCAAAAGGAAATTAATCAACAGGAAAACTGATAACCTAGTTATTGTTTTAAATCATTTTTACCAAAAAAACACTGACAGATTTCGGTGTATTAAATGTCAATATTGGCTGGCTTTGTTTGCTTTTGATGACAGTACATTGAATATCTTGTGGTTTGGGGCTGTTGGTCACCACACCAAATATTCTAAAGACGTCACCTTTGGGAAAATGTTACTGCATTTCTTGCATTGTGCTTTCAGTACTTTCTGACTTGTTTTTGACCAAGTTGAGAAAATAATAAGCAGATTAAAGGACAATTAAAATAGTCGTTAGATGCAGCCCTATTTCAAAGCACTTTTAATCAAAGAGTAGCCTACTTGAGTTTTGTCGATCAAATCATTATAAAACCAACACTAACTAATGATGGCAGAACCTGCACAATGTCTTGCGCTTGCATCATTTAATAATTTAACAACAACATATACCTCAATTTCAACTTCGCCGCCTGCTACATCGCTTTCCCCTCTCACTGTGGAGGATTTACTGACTTCCACAGATGACTGTCTGCACCAATCAACAGGGAAATCAGGGAAACACCTGCAGCGGTATTATCTCTTACCCTGTCTTCCTCCCTCCCCGGTGTTAAGAAGCTTCCTTTTAAATTCCCTAATGAAGAAGGTTTCAGCAGCCTGGGCCACAAACTATCCAACCTACATATGTGCTTTAGCCTAGAATACATGCTTTTGCACTGGCTCGATCCACCTTGCTTGCGAGCTTGATTTGTAAACATAACCGACCAGGACCACGACACCTCCAACCACAGCGGGAGGATGAGAGGGGGCAGAGACACACACACACACACAAAAAATGGGGGCAAAACAATTGTTTAAGAAGCTATATATTAAAAAAGATGGATTCGAGGGGCGCATATAAAAGGCAAAAACAATATTAATATGACAGTTTATAATTGAAGAAATTGATTTAAAAAAAATAGAGAAAAACACTCGACTCACCAGCTTCAGCACAGCAACATCAGCGGCTCCAGTGCAAGTCTCTTTCAGGAAGGAGAGCAACACACAGCGGCAACAGACGGAACCAACGGTACTGAACCGTGGGGGGTGAAGGTATCAAACATTATATTTACGAGATAACAGCAGTTTGTTCATAAATATGTATATACGAAATCTGAATTATTCTGTATGTAATTTAGGAATTAAAGTGATTTGGTGAGTGAATATGAAGCGTAAAACAAATAATAAGTACAAGTATTGTCCCCCTTTAGGAATAGAATGGCTCAGACGTCCCCCGGTTAGCATCGCTGCTAAGCCACCTTGATTCGCCTTCATTACAACAAACAAACATAGCACTAAAATAAGATAGACTCAAACTGCAAGTTGACCCGTATGATAAGCTGACTTAAAAATGATGGTAGGAACAGCCTTTAAAATGGACTGTCACTGTTGACTGAAACGTTTTTATGAGCCGAAAGATAGAGGTTGTCATCGGCTGCCGTGTCCACCATTAACCAGCAGGTGTCAGGAGCGTCCGCAGAAAACGCCCTAGTGTTCACAGTACAGGTGGTGGAGGGTTCCCCATATGCCAGTGCATCCATAGTCTAAGTATAGGCCTAAATCCATTAAACTCACAGGATATCTGCCAAATACTGTATATAAAGATAAATAAAGAGCTTTATATACAGTATGAGGTGTCTGCAGGTCGACAAAAAAGTATTAAATTCAGTTCCCTCAACAAAACAAAAAAGGCCTTTGAAGGTAGGCTATTAAAAAATCTTACCTTTAATTAATAAAGGTCCTTGTTCTTTTCCGGCCTAACAGAAGCCAGTAGCCAGGAAGCGCATCAATTCATAATGTGGTAATTGTCCTGGTTGATTTTTAGCAAAAACTTAAATTTACAAATGAATTTTTATTTTTTAATTGGTTGAACCATCAATCAGTTTTCTGACACTTATTAGGGGCCAGGCATGGACAGATTATGAGACCCCACACTGAAAGAGTTGTAAAACAACTATAAATGAAATGTTTTGCGTCTCTTCGTGGTTGTTTGAGTCTTTTTTTAGGTAATTTTGTGGGTTTTTTTTGCCTATTTGTGGTTGTTTTGCGTTTTGTTTTGGTTGTGTCCCCTCTCTGCCTCTGTGTCTCCCTCTCGGTCTTGGTGTGTTGTCTGTGGCACTGGGGCTCTTAATGTTTACAATTGTAGGATTTATTATTTGTTTTCTGTCATCCTCACATTCTCTTATTCTCAACTCTTGCAAGTATGGGAAAAATTAAACTAGCTCCAATATTTTCACATAAAATCAGCTTTGTAAGTTCTGAATCAGCACTGTTCTGAAATACACTTTCTACTTGGACACGTCTTCAGTGATGAACTTCCAACATTTGGTAACATGTATGGGATATACTTTTATAGCCTACGAGACAAGTTTGAGGTGGGGCAGTAATTAAATACTGTTGCAAAGATAGGAAAATCTGGATTTTAACTTTTGTTACCTTATTACAGATGACGTCGGAAAATTTACATCCCTTTTTAATTTTCAACTACTTGTACTATCTCACAAACGGAGAGACAATATTAACATCTTTATTTACAATGTTCTGTATATACATATATAGTGACAATATGATTTTGATATGGAAAAGTTTAAGGTTGTCATGTCCTCATAAAAACAGTCAAATTGCTGTCAATGTTGCATCATGAGAGAAAGAAAAAACTAATCGATTTATCAGTTTTCCTGCAGGTGACTCTTCATACACTGTAACTTCCACTGTCCTGCACTGACATTTGTGAATGTTTGCCATCTTCTTGCTGTGGGATGCTATAAGATTTCTCTTCCTCTCCAAAGGGGAGTTGACAGTCTGCTTCCTTCAAGTTTGTGGGAATAACGGATGGCGTCCCGCCAGACCCGTTTCCTATGTGGAAAGTGATATTGACATTGACATGAGGACTGGTGGTCACAGGGCTGATGATCTGCGGGCTGGTAGGCTGAGAGGAGTGCTGTGCAGGGAGACTGGGCTGAGGTGTGACAGGTTCTGTGTTGGAAATTAAAGTCATTGGCTCTGACAGAGCAGAGCATGAATCGTCAAGGGCGACAGTTGATTGTAAAGGGCCAATGGAGTCATGGCTGCTGCAGCCGTCTGTTCGGGTTAAAGTTTCAGTATAGTTACTGCACTGGCTGTGGTCACTGCAGGCTTCCCCTTTTCCCAGCAGACCCTGTTGTTCTGGTGAGTGAACTGTCAATGAAATCAGTTGAGTTTCCCCCAAATAACCCGGAATGATCTGCGGGAAAAAGAAATGTGAAGTTTAATTTTCAACATTTTCAACTGCAGTCCGTGGTCATTTTATTAGGTGCACCTGTACAGTCTAATGCATTCTAATACAGCTGTTCAGCCATAAAGTCTGCTTTTATGTTTCAGTTTTCTTGACCCTAACATAGACGTGTTAATTCAATTATTTATTTTAGCATTGAGGTCATGGTAAGTGATGGCTCTGCACTATATTCAGAGGAGTTTCTGATATTCAGCCCCACTTATATATGTAAATAGGACAAAAATGAATTTGCACATTTCTGACAGTGTCTCCAAAAACTAAAATGATAAACTTTGTAAAGTTTTAGAATTTATGGCAGAGCTGTTGTATTGAATTGCAACAGGCTGTATAGGTGTACCTAATAAAAGGGCCACTGAGTGTATATGCAGTCACAAAGAAGAAAAGCCAAGGAAAACTCACTTTATCACCACTCTCACAGTTTCCATTTGCATCCACTTTAAGAGGAAATTCTGCAGTGTCTGGGCAAAAAAAAAAAAAAGAACATGCAGAAAGTATAATATAATAATATAATATAAGAAAAATAATTGGTCATTATCATTCTGTATTTCAAGTTGATTTGGAAGATAAATATAATCCAGATACAATCATAGCTTTTCCACAAAACAAAAATATGATTAATGAAGCTTTTTGCAGGATAAACTTACCTTTCTTCCAGAAATGTTTGTAAAAGCACACCAAAATGATAATGATAAAAAGCAAAATAGATCCAATGACTCCAGCATTGACAGCAACTAGCACAGACATAAAAACAGACACAACACAGAGGTAGAAAGAGAGAAATATTGAAATACTAATTATACCTCACAGTTTTCTCATGATGATTGCTTAGAAACACCAAATCAGTGACCATACCCAGAGTAATGTCAGGTGCTGTGAGTGGCGGTGGGCTTTTTGTTGAACGGTTGAATACTTCCTTTGAGACAGGCAGCATGGAGTCGGAGACTGCTAAGAATGTGCTCCTCATTGTACTTGCAGTCACGAACACAAAGCCAGTGTCATCCGCTTTTAATGTTTTTGGAAGCTGTGCAGTTGTAACACCCTGATGTTCACACAAGGTGTCCGAGGTAGTGTTACCTTTTCTGACAACAGCATTCCCATGACAGCTGTAGAGAAACAAAGGAAGAGGTAAAATATCTGAGTTTCTAACAGCTGTATACATTACCTGAGTTTCCTTCACTCACTTTGTATGAGGCCGACAGCGGTCCGTGAGGGAGATTGTGTCAGAGAACGTCCCAACTGGGCACTGTTCACACCTCACATTTGAGTTTGCCGTCCCTGAGAACAACATCCAAATATGCTGCAGTTTACTTACATTTCACCATCAGACATCTTATTTGATTTCAACTTTATGATACATACATATGTAACATTAATTATTGCGTTAAAGCATTGGTAGATTGATTGTCAAGAGCGCATTTTCTATGAATTATTTATCTATTCTTGACATGTGAAATTTCCAATAATTATAAAGGGCCCTCACAAAGAGGAGAGGGCTCATTCCATAAGGTTTGTTCTTAAAATTTTAAATAAAATATGCAAGAATTACATGTATGGTAAACACACACATGTTTGACTATTAAAAAATAGCAGATGCTGTACCTGGCACAGACACTCCATGACCAACTTTGCATGGGATGTACTTCGCACATTCTTTGCAGTATGGGCTGTTAAATCCTATCACACAATACATCCCAGGCATGCACTTACACCTGGCCCTTGTGGTAGAGGAGCAGTTCTGGGCGTACTCTACACCATTTCCTGGTCATATATAGAAACATATGTTTTTCTCACTGGGAAAGTCGTGTTAAAAAGTAGAACAAAAATAATAAATCAAAAGATATAAAATCAAATCAGCATTCTTTCTAACATGGAGATTTATAGTGCAGCTACTGACTTGATTTGCATTTTTCACAGGAGAAGCAGTTTTGGGCAAAGTTCCAGCTCTCCATGTACTGGCCTGGTTCACACTGTGCACACACACTCTCAGTAGTTTCAGTGCAGTCCTCTATCAGACGCTCACCTGTGATAAAAAATCCACATTAATCCATTGTCACTGTCACTGCATTATTTACACATTTTACAACAACATGTAGGTATTGCATTACGAAAACATAAAGATTCAAAGATAAATGATTCCTCATATGTTTTCATTGTTGATCATAGTTATCATCGTTTGCCTAAAACGGTGTGAAAATGAAAATGAAAATGGCAATACATAGTTTGTATGACACAGATACTGGCTTACATGTATTTTACGTTTGGTGAAGTTTTTATTTATGAGATTTACGATCATTATTAGTAACTAATGCAAATAGAAGTGTTACTTTTTCACTCAGATGCTTGAGAGGAGTAAGATATAGTGGCTATTCAATTAAATACACACATTTAACAGCTAAAAGCAATTCAGATAAACACCCACTGCTAACCTCACTCACTCCATAGTGGAGAAATGGAATGTAAAACAATTAACTCCACTCCGAGTGGGAGAGATGAGGTTAGCAGACACATGAGATATTGCTTGAGCACTTCAATATTTTTTATAGCTCAAATCTTGATTGGGAAAGGGTGTGGAGGACAGCTCTGATGAAAAAGCTTCTAAGGAAAATTCACCCTGAGAACTAAAATCTTCACTAATGTAATTTGACTCACTGTGTTTACATTTCTGCTCTGTATGAGTTGCAGCTCATGCTAGACTGCTGGCCACACCTGAACTGCAGATGTCACAGTCGTACTGTCCAAAGCCAAAACACTTACTGTGCTACATAAACTACAATGGTACCTTTAATCTCAATCACTTAGTAGAAGTAACAGTCAAAAAATGAAGGGCATGAATGGACAGAAATGCAGCACAAACTGGTCTTCGCCTCTGTCATTTACCACTAAAGTATATCATGTTTTAGCCACAAATGCATTTTGAAGACCCCCTTTTACGGGATTTTTGTTTTAAAACAAGTCAGCAGGAAACATTAAAGAGTCAGGCAGAGACAATGTTTTCAACCAAATCATGGATTTTAACGTTAGCTTAATTAATCTGCCAGCACCAGTTCGTATTGAGAAATGATACACTGCTTTTGTCTCTCTCTGTCTGGTCCGGTGTTAAAAAATAAAGCTGTCAGCATTCTTTGGAAGACAAAGTATGCCTAGGCAACATTTTCTAAACTACCCCAAATCTATTTTGAGATAGTTGAGGTGGTAGCTACTCCTACTTCCCATTACATATCTGCTTATACACAAATACCAATACTGTATGAAATAGCAGTATATGAAAAAATTGACTTCATGCTCCTTGTTTCCCCAGATGAAACAAGGAGCATAAAAAATGTCTTTAGCTACAGTAGCTAGTATTTATCTCCTTTCACACCTTCACCCCCCAGCTTTTAACAACAAAGTTTCAAGTTATGTGTGTATTTCTGAACATTAAATCCCCCACAGTATGACTCTCTACTGTAATGTTACATCGTCTACACTCAGAACAAAACTGATATTTATACAGAAAAGGACGGTTAAGAATGATTTAAAAGAAAAGACTTTTTTTTTTTTAAGTTGGCTTCAGGACAGGTACCAGGATAGACCATCAAATAACTTTTTTATTTTAAACTACCCTGAGACAACTTTGAGTTTCAGTACAGTATGTACCCAAGCACTGATATGAGTCTGGGTGTGTGTGTGGTTTTTTTTCTAATGAAACTTTTGGAAAAAAAAAAAAAAGATTGCAGTCCTTGCTGTTGTTTACAGCACAGTGCTTACCAGGGCGGCATTTCTTGCAACACAGGTTAGATTCATCAAACATGTATTCTCTTGTTGAGTTGCGACAGTTTCCATCTGAGTCCACCGTATAGGGCTGAGAGCACACCTACAGGAAAGTGAGACGATGCTTATCCTCTGCTGGTCAGATGAAGATGGGGGAAAACATAGAAGTCTCTTCTCATAACCTACTGACACACATGCAGAGCCACATTAAGACTGCCAGAGGGCAAGGGCTTGGTGATTCAGGTAAACTGAGTAACTTTGAAACTACTAATGTGAAAAATGTTTGCAACCCAGACATGTACGTGCCAGAGCTTTTTCCTTGGAATGCACCTGCTCTGAAGTACGATAAACCTACACCTTCAATCCATCAATAAACACAGTAATTTTAAAATCAACAATTTAGTCAGTCAGTTGCTAACGGGGGAAGCAGACAAGTTGACCAATGACTGGTTAAACTTTTCATTATGTTAAACAAGAACCTAAAGTAGTACCTGACCACCCACACCTGCGCCCACTTTTTCCCATCTGGTACTGCACCCGACCTGAGTTGCAGACATGGTCAAACAGGCAGACATTGTTCTGAACTTGTAGGCGGTGCATTTCATTTCCACAGTATCTCTCCTCTATGTGGGGCCCTCTTTAGGCATTGCACACATGCATACATGTTGTACAAGTACAACCTCACTTTAATTCTCCCAGTACTAAGATATCATAAATACAGTAACCACAGCATTGGTGTGCTGAAAAGGTTCACACACCTATACTGTGCATAAACCTGAAACTCTCTCACCACAGTACCCACCAATGACAAGCAAAATATGCAGAATATGCTGACAACAGCAGTGTATTTCTCGTATTACAGGAAATAGAGGCGGCAACCAAGAAGCCCTCGCTTCTGAGGCACAAAGTTCTTTCTGTGGAGTGACCCCTGATAGCACAGGGAGCGATGATAAGATAAACCTCCGGGAAGGGACAATCAAAGAGAACATTACTGTTTTTTCCTTTTTCTCCTGACTGCATACCACAAACTTGTGTTTATGAGAAGTGCAAAGTGAGATTGAAAGACAACAGAGAAAGTTGCTACATCATCTCATAACTGGGTGTCTCAACAATGAGATATTCAGTCTGAAACTGAACTCAAATGTCAGACACGCGAAACCAAATATTCATAGCTTCACCACAACAAAAACTATGCTTTAAACCTACTGTAATTTCACATCGTCTACACTCAGGACAAAACTGATATACAGAAAAGGACTATTGGGAATGTTTTAAAAGAAAAGGATAATTCTCTTTGTTGGCTTCAGGACAGGTACCAAGATAGACTTTATGGTCTAATGTGTTTCCATTTGTATGACACAACCATCATTTGACATATTTTCAAATACTAACTTTAAAAGTCCCCCAGTGCCTCCTACTTCACATTCCCAGGAGTAAGTGAAACTTACTAACAACTCAAAGACAACTTTTCAGAGTGCCTGATAAACAGTGCAAGTGCATGACAGAATAAAAGACAGACACGAAGCCTACCTTGGCAGTTTGGGCACTCAACAGAACCAGCAGTACAAGTATTTCCTTCATTGCTTCTTAAAAGAGAATTATAGACTGTAGAGGATACAGCTACCAGCATGTGCACTGTACTGTTCATTTTAAAAAGGCGGGCCAACAGTCTGTACAAACAGCACCAATTTCCTTGAACTGAGACGAGTGCTTGGAGGAAGGAAACGAGCAGGCAGGCATTTAACCCACATTCAGTGCTCTGATGTGAACAACCATTATGAGGTTAGACTTAGTTTAGATGAGGTTAAAAACTGATGCCATACCGCCACATGGAAGACGCCTGATATCTTTTGTTTATAGAGGTTTTCTTGTTTTATGGAAGCACGAAAACTGTTTTATGGTTTTACACATTTAATGTGGCTTTTTGACACAACAGAAAAAGAATTTTATTGTGAAGACAGATTCCTGAATTTATTTTTAAAGATCAAATACAAAGTATATCTTCCCTGTAATAGGACACACCTAAATCATCACTGGTGCAGCCCAAAGGACTTTATCACAGGAGCCATTTGCACATGCCGGAAAAGCACAGGTGGATCTAATAATATTAACGATGGCTCAGTTGTAGTCAGTGTCCCAGTGAACCATAACAAAAAAACAATAGTAGGGGCCCCAGACTGCCAATTTCAATGGGACACTGTCATCATTAATGTTATTGATTTCACCTGTGCTTTTCCTCTGTGACATTTGAAAATGTCTGCTGTCAATAAGGCACATCATTACTTCCTTAAATGGAGAACATGTTTCTATGGTCAAGGGTTTTCAGTCTGGAAAGTCCAACATTTGGTCAGTTGGTATTTTTGCAAAACCTGTAGTATACAGTACAAAAGTACAGGTCCCACTTCTGGAATTCAAAATGGAAACCCCCTACATTAAAAATCATCTCATTCATAAAATAATATATTAGTTATATGTAAGTGTAAAATAGAAATAACCCCAATAGAGGAAGTGGAAACACTGAGATTTTCTCTTCGTGTTTATAAACAGACAAGTCCAGATTCAGTGTAGCCTCACAGACCCCAGCTTGGTTTGCAGATATATATCATTTTAGATATCGCAGAGTTTGAATATTCAGGACATCAACCTAATTTACTGTTTTTAGGAGAATTGATTCATGCTGCTGGGTTTCTAAACTGTGGCAGGATACCGTAGCTGAAAGTTACATTTGTGATAACAGAAATGTTGTTTCAACCAGAAACCCTGGTTAAGCTCTGTGACTGTCATTGGTGAAGTGTTCCTGAGCAAGGCACTAAAGCCCACTTTAAGTGTGCCCAGTTAAATGCCCATGTGCTTTACATAGTTTGTTCCTGCGTGAGCTGCTGACATTTCATAACAAAGTTTCCCCTCCCACATCCTGAACATTTCTCTGGTACTCATGCACAGTTGTAGCAGCCCTTTTGTTCATTGTGCTCAATATGTTTTTGTCTGTTATATTAAATGAGTTTTAGCGTGTTAATCTGGAGCGATTTAAAGTCAGACCTTAACAAAGCCTCACTCTGGTATCACAGCAACCAAGCTCTAACATAACTATCAACAATCAGATAACAATGTACAGATGATAGATGTTGGTTTGCTTTGAAAAGTTGTTTGTGCCATAAAACATCAAAGTACTGTAACTTCAACACACAAGACACAAAGAACTCATTGTGAAAAAAAATAATTAAAAGGAAGTAAAGGAAATGAGATGGTTTCCTTTACTTTCAATTAATTCCATTTATCATTTTTATTGATTTTATTGAACACAACTTGATACATTTTATGTACTATCTAACCTCTCAAATACATTAGCCTGCTTAGCACAAAAGTAATGTCATAGGAAGGGTGGCTACTGTATAGGTGGTTGTGGTTTCCTTTGAAATCTGTATAGTACCTACTGCCCTTGTGTCTTCATGTTCACAGCCCCACACTGAGGAAGTCACAAAGGAAGTTAAAAACAGAAGTATACATGAGCCTGGGAGCCAAAGAAAACAGCTGGAAAGGGAAAAACAAACTGGTACTTCTGAGCAACAGATGATTCAAAATAATTCCCTTATTGTTGTGAAATTTACAAGGCGAACTCTATATGTGCTCTAAACGTGCTAAATGTCTTCCCTTTCCACTGTGGCGTAATGTTATGATCTCTTGCTTCACATTCACAAGGCTGCTGACAGTCACATGCGGAGCCTAAATCTGCTCAGAAAAAATGAAGAACTAAAATGCAACTCCTGTCAACATAAAATATGCTGCTATGTCATGTGCTTTTATTCACATAATGTATGAATAAATAGACATAAAACAAGCTAACATGAAGCGTTTCATTCTCTTGAAAACAAATGGTCTAATATTTAGGATCAATTTACGATCAGGAACACATAGTTAAAAATAAAAGTAAATAAAAATGGAAAATCTTTTAGGGTGGTGTCAAACGGCTTGCAGGAACTACAAGGATCACTTAAAAATAGACTGAATGATGGTTGATTTTTCAGCACACTGGGTAAGATGTGCTTCCTAGTTTTGTTTGGGTTGAAAGTGTTGGAAGTTGTGACGAGCCAAGCGTGACACATTTAGGATCTGGTCAGAGATCTGGTGACTGGACACTTTGGGCACAGAGAGATCCTGAAAAATAACATGACGAACAGAGCCGTTTTTTTGTATTGTAATATTTGGACTTACAAATACAATGATGTAAGGCTGCATTGTCTCACCTCCAGTTCCTTGTTCTGTGACTCTGTGGAGCTCTTCGTTTTCAAACTGCTCTGCAGATCGAGGGTGCTGGGTGGCGGCAGGGTGCTCTGACCTGTGTGCGACCAGCCTGAGAGACAGTGCTGGAAAAGAGTGAGGAGATCCACTGAGATGTACAATTTTAAGTTAGGCACAGAGGTGCTCGCACAATATGTAAAGACTACAGAGGGGAAAATGGCACAGTTCATTAGTTGAAAAACAAAAATCACCATGCAGTGGGTTCTCTCATTTGAACGCCTACTCACCGATGGCAAACCCAAACTATCAGAAGGGTCAAAGCTGCATCGCCGATGAGCTTTGTATTTGTAAGTTGGCAAGAGGGTGGAGCGAGGGATGCTGACCCTTACAACAACAAAAAAAAAAGTTAGAGGAAGGGTAAGTGTACTTTAAGCTCAACGAAAACTCGAGAAATTGCCCATTCATTTTGGTGTGGGTACCATTATTTTACAACAACGTTCATAGACGTACAATTGCTTTTTGCATACCTTATTATGAGTAGATTTAATTGTAAATAGATAAAATTGCCCATCAATCCACACCCAATAGGCCACAATGACAAAGTGAAAACATGGTTTTTGTTGGTTTATTAAAAATCAAAAACTGAAATCCCTCATTTACAAAACTATTCAGGTCCTTTACTGTGGCACTCCAAATTGTGGTCAGGTGCATTCTGTTTGCTTTAATTATCTTTGACCAGAGCTTGATTGCAGTTTACCTGTTGCAAACTGACTGGACATTGTTTTTAAAGACACCCATCTGTATATGTAAGGCCCCGTGAGTCACACTACAGGTCAGGACAAAAACCAAGCCATGAAGTCCAATGAACTCTCTGTAGACGTCTGGAACACTTTGTGGCGAGACATAGATCAGACCAAGGATATAAAAGCCATTTCTAAAGCTTTGATTGTGATATGGAAGAAGTTTGGAACCATTAGCACTCTAACAAGGTAGGAAGGGCCTTGGTCAGTGAGGAGACAAAGAACCCAACAGACCTTCAGAAGTCTGGAAGGATGACCATCTCATCAGCACTCCATCAATCAGGCCTTGTCCATAACCTGGCTACTACCATCCCCACAGTGAAGCATGGTGGTGGCAGCATCATGCTACGGGGAAGGCTACTCAGCGGCAGGGAAAGGGAGACTGGTGAGAATTAAGGATTAATGCAGCCAAATACAGAGAGGTCCTTGAGGAAACCCTGCTCCAGAGTGCATACGACCGGACACTGGGGTGACAAGTTCCCCTTTCAGAAGGACAATTACCGGAAGCATAGAGCCAAGGCCATGCAGGAGTGGCTTCAGGACAAGTCTCTGATTGTTCTTGAGTGGTGCAGCCAAAGCCCAGAATTGAATTCTATAGAACATCTGCGGAGATACCTGAAGATGGAAGTCCACAGACACTTCACATCCAATCTGACAGATGATAAGAAGATCTGCCAGGGGGAATGAGATAAACTCCCCAAATCCCACTGTGCAGAATTCGTAAAGACATACCCAGGAAGACTCCATAATACATCAAATGTTTTTAAAAATATATTTTCACTTTGTCATTATGGGTTATATTGAATGTAGATTGATAGGCAAAAATCACATTTAAATCTTCAACACAATCAAGTGTGCACAAAGAGAAGGGCTCTGAATATTTTTTGAAGCCACTGTACAAGTAAACCCAGGAACAGGACGTTTCAGAGTGCAATACATAGACAGCTCGGGAAATTACGTGCTCCGTAGCCTTTTGGATTCATCTAGCAGGGACAAATTTAAAATTTGTCTTTCGGCTGGTGGCAGTTAAGTTTTTTTTTTATTGTGTATAAGTTGTCATAAAATGCATTTCACGATATTTATTACCTGATAAGAGCTGGTTCAGCTGTAGTGTGAGGGTGGGAAGATTTGTGCGTTTTGCACACAGGACAGTGCTCCTGAGAGTGAAGTGGGACAGGGAACAGTCTGCTGTTAATCCTGTAAGAGAATGTACCTGTAGGAGAGGAGGAGAAGAGGTGAACAAGCGGAGACAAGAGTTTCTTCAGCTGTCATGAAAAGAAGAATGAAAATGAGAGTTCTGTGAGTAGTAGTATTCAAATAAATGACCGAAACCCTCTTACATTGATGAGTGTCTGTGTTAGTTTCTGGGTCATCCTTGTTAGTTAGCAGCGGCAGCCCTGAATGGTTCGCCTCAGAAAATCTATGAAGAGAACTCATTAATATTGACTAAATGAAGCTATCATCAATCACAGGTAAACTTGACTCACATACTCATTTGCAAGTGCAATTAAGTGAGAATCACTCACTCTGCTTGTGGGCTGTGGACACACTCATCTTTATGGAGTGATCGAAACATGTGCAGGTCATTGAAGAACTCGTCAGAGCGCTCTACCAAGGAATCCTCAGCATCCAGGACTCCTTAGAGGAAAAAAAAACAAACATCACATATTAGACCTCCATTAGACGATTATGCATTTGAAAGAGACATAAAAAGAGAGACCAGTACCTGCGATCCAGTCATATCCAAGTAAGGGCTGCAAATGATGCCTGTCACAGGCAGGTATCTCTTCACATTCGTCAGACTGAAATGTGACTCGACTCCGCACCTCCCTCTTCAGAAAACAAATTGTGAAGAGAATTAGTGATCCATATGTTCTTCTTCAGATATTTTTGGATACAGTCACTGTTCTTTGGCTTGGCAGAGATTTAACGCTTACACTTAAGAGGAATTGTTTATTGTGCTGTAAAATTTAAGTTCATACAAAAGCATAACAAGCATGTTGGCTCTGTTGTTCCGTCTGTGTTTCCTCCCAAACTCTAAAGAGTCATCACTTACTGTAAAAGCTTAAAAAAAGCAGCTGAAGCTGCTTAATTTAAGTTTCATGTGGACAAATGCTTGAACTTGTGGGTCCTAAAAAGTCTAAAACCCATCTTGCTATCTCCTATACTTCCTCATTGGTTAAATATCCCCCCCCCCAACAGTGCTCTGATAAATTAAAACTGTAAGGTGGCTGAGTGACTGTAGAACGTTCAGTAAAATAAACATATGGAAATCAAGCAAATCAAATTATGTTGAAAATTATGTTGAAAATGTTTATCTTGGACAACTGATAAACATTTTATACTTCTTTTAAGCTGTAAAAAAAAAATGGCAGAGATTGGTTTACAGTATGGAGGTCCTGCAGGTTTCCAGCACATCTGAGTAGATCATCCTGCGTTTCTTTTGCTTACCTGTTCTTTACTGTGATTTACTAAACATGGTTTATTGCTGTGTGGCTTTGTGTCCTGTAGCCTCTCCTGGACATGAGGATGTCTGTCACTGTCTTTGAAAATGACTGATGAGTCTGTATGTTGAGCAATCCCTCCTTTATGTTTGGGGGTCAAAGATGGTGTGGAAACAGTGCGCGAGATGCCTGTTTGTCTCTCACATGTATCTGATGGAGACAGAGGAAAAGATTTCCAGATCAATGATTCAGGATCTTTCTTTCAATTCATCGCTTGCACACCACAGAATGCGGAGATGTAAAGTCAAAAAGTTGTACCAAAGTTGTAAACGCTTAAATGCACCTCAGCTCCGGAGAAAGCTAGTAAGTGGACCTAGTGAACAAGTGTATTACCTCCAAGTCATTAGCAGTGTAACTGACTTTCACTAGCTCCTTGTTGTAGACTGCAGGGAGTTAAACCAAGCTTTGTGTTTAATGTGGTGTGTGGGTTATCTCACGCATTACAAAAGAGTTTTTTTTAATGACTGAGTTCAGTGCAGATTTCATAAATGAAGTGACGGTACATTAGAACGTTTCTAGACTACGACAAAGATCTTATCTGGTAGCTAACTCAGCTCATATGTGCAGTTTTCTCTTACGCATTCAGCTTCAATTTACACTGTTTCATTACCCGCAAATTTCACGGTAAGTTTGGCGAGGGCGGCCCTTGCCGAACTGCGGTCTCCACCGCTGCGCGTCACCATGTCTTCAGGCTGTATCCTCTCCTCTGCCTCGTCCTCTCTCTCCCTCTTGCGGCTATGACTGCAGCCCCTTAGACGCTCCACTTTCTCTCTCTGCCGCTTCAGCTGGTTCAGTAGATCTTTGTTTTGCTCTCGTAAAGCGTCCAAACGGTCTATGGAGGACATTTTAAAGTTTAACGCACGTTGAAATCGCGTTGAGCTGACAAAAGGTAAAACAAACTCTCTTTTCGTGAATTAAACTGGACGCCATAACAACGTATTGACACAACAATGATCTGATTGGCTGCGAACGTTCTACTCGTCATGCAGTGTAACCGTCCAAGGTTTCTCTTAAAGTGACAGACATACCTTTGATTTAAGCTACAGGACATGATATTGAACAACAGAGGGCGTTATTTACTCAATTAGCATAGGTGATGCAGCTAAGTAAATAAACCAGGATAAAACACAATATTAAATTAAATTTCAAGCAGCAATGAGTTACAAGAAGTTCAGTTACTTCAGCAGAGTAGATAGATAGATAGATAGACAGACAGACAGACAGACAGACAGACAGATAGATAGATAGATAGATAGATAGTAGATAGATAGATAGATAGATAGATAGATATATAGATAGATAGATAGATAGATAGATAGATAGATAGATAGATAGATGCATAACTATACTGTGTGCTGAATCCACTATAAAATGGTTCTCCATGTCATATACTATAATACTTAATCTGATATATAACAGATGTGATAGATAATGTAATAAATAAAAACTCCAGGTGAGCACTCTGTACTGTTACGAGGAAAAACTATCAGAGGAGTCAGAGGAGTCCCCTCTCCTGACACAGAGGAGAATCATTTCACAGAGTGATAGCAGATGACAAGAATGACTTCCTGTTGTGGTCCTTCAGCAGAGCTGAAGAAGTCTCTCACTGAAAGTGCACCACTATTTGACCAGCAAGTCGTGAAGGGCATGTGAGATGTTCTCCATGATGTTCAACAGTTTGTGCAGCATCCTCCTCTCCACAACCATATCCAAGGGCTCCAAAGAAGTCCAGCCAGCACCAGCATAGAGATTTTTTTTCTTTTTCTTTTTGGAAATGTATGTCACTTTTAAGGAAGGTATTAGTGTTTTAGTTAATTCAACAGGTAGGGTTCTGGGATCAGTGGTGAGCAAGCTATGTAAAGATCTGGGACTGTACTCGCACAGTTATCTCGTGTGTGTCCTGTTTCAGATTCAGTGAACATTTCAATTGTAGTACTATACATTACAGAACAATTTGATTGTTTTTTGAGTTCGTACACTTACACCGGTTTTGGTTGACGTGGGATGATAACCTCCAAATATCAGACATACACTAAATGAGAGATGATTCGGCTTTGGAACAGGCTTGTGAACATCTCTGAACAACTGTTTATTAGAAAGATCTTGTCAGGTTGAATCAATTCATAAAGCCTTTGACAAAGCACAACTCAAAGAATTGGACAAAAAACTGATCCTAAATAAATCTAACTATGAAACGAAGCAAAATGATTAAATACAGTATTATCAGCTAAACCTCAAGGAAATAAAACAAAGAAAAACAGTCTGTTGAAGACATAACAAGCCTTCAAAGGTTAGTTGAGCCTAAACAGTACCACTGCAGCTCCAGAGAGAACAGGGACAAAATACTCCCCAGAAAACCATATTAGGTAGAAAGAAGGAATAAATGTCACGGCAGGCTAAGAGGGAAAAAGGAAACTCCCATGAGGACAGCTGCAAGAGGTGCCAGGACAAAATCAAAAACCTGGAGTAACATGAAAGCATGAGGTCTCTAGTCCATGAGGTTTACATCAACAAACTTTACACTATACATTCACAATTCAAGCTCATTCTTTCATTGTTGGTTATAATGGTGATATGGGAGCCAAAATATAAATTATTTACTCTGAGATTTACAGCATGTAGAAACAGACTTTATACCGTCTGACTGTGCACCCTGTCGAGAGGCAAATGTAAGTATAACGTGACGTTATTGGAAAACTACTAAAATCCAATTTAGGGTCTGACGTCTTCCTTGTCAGAAAGAGGTTCACAGGTCACTTGAGATGTAACTCAAACTCCAACAACATGAAATATCAGATGAGGGGTTCACTAACCTATATGTAATAAACCTTTAGCTGCCACCAGATCCTAGACAGTGGCAATAAATTTACATTTTATCAGTGCACCTGTTTTTATATTTTACACTCAGTGGCCACTTTATTAGGTACAGCTATTAAAATCTAATGCAATCCAATACACCAGCTCAGCCATAAACTCTACATTTACAAAGGTAAGTTTGCGGTGGTGTTGAACTGGACAGCATTATATTGAGAGGTGTCTCTAATGTTTTGCCCAACCCATTTACAAACATAAGGGAGGAAGAATTAATACAACACCTCCAAACCACCACTAACTACAACCTCAATACTCTAATAAACATGTATTTGAATGAGCACCTCAGTGAAAGTTTTAACAAAAACAGACCATTCCAAGCTTTGTGAAGGTGTAACATATGACAGTGCTGTTATATGGCATTCGTTTTTACAGGTATATTTATCAACAACTGACTGAACATGTTGTAGACATACATGTTGACTGATAGTTGATGGGCCAACCTGTTGATTTTCTACTCACTGTATCGACAACATGTGCTTGTAACAGTGTTGACAATGGTATGTATTCATCCTTCGCTGGGTGGCTTGATGACATTAGTTTATTTATATTAAACCTGTCCATCCATGGTGGCACTAATGACAGTGTTGCAGGTGGTGCAGGGTCACAGCCGTAATCATATGCCTGATGCCCCGTGGAGCAAATGGGGTGGAACTGCGTGGGCAAGCTGCTGTTCACTATTCCAGTCACGGCTCGTTTGCGCTGAGAGCTGTCCAGGCCAGTCCAGTATGATTAGCTGACCACGGTAGTGTGGAGTTGCACCCCATTATCATTAAACGGTGCCAGTCATGAAGTTATATACTCCTCCCTGTCTCTCTAATTACACCCCCACTGTTGGGCTTCAAGCAATTACTGCCTGCCGCCAGAGCGCTTCATTGTTCATTAGGCACAGATAACGGACACATCAACAACAAAAACAAAAGAAAAAGGTGTAATTACTCACATTTCTGCTAAACAACAAGCATATGACCTAAGAGAAATGATTCTGATGTCATTATTTTAAGGAAACTAAAGGTTTCGGAGAAAGGTGGTAAAATTATTGTAGAATGAATCACATAACCGTGAAACCATAACTGTGGCTTGATATGCTGAGGAGGGATGTGTCCTGCTCTCTTGTTCTGTGCAATTCAGAGTCCTGTCCTGTGTAAGAAGGTCTTATATTGTACATTTAACTCTGTCACAACCATTACTCTGTAAACAAACAAAAAGCAGTTTGCCTAGTTTGATTCCTGGTGGATTAGTGAGTCCCTATAATCATTGTTTATCAGTCCATCTTTCAATCACTATTCATAGAATAATAAGCTCAAATGTCAGGCATTTGGAATAACAAATGGGTTATAATATATATATATTACTAAAATGAACTACATCACGAGTGAAAAGCAGTGTATTAGTAAACCCTGTGATTTACACATTCACTCTTTCTTTTTGATTGTTTTTTTCTTTTGTCTTCTAGATAGTTTTAGTATGAAAGATCTTATATAAAGTAATTACATAGGATTATCTATGGGTAACTGTTTAACATTGTCACATCCTGTATAATTATAGGATACAGGACACATTTTAAATTATGTATCTTAAATAAACAGCTTCTCCAGACATGATTTAAGACGTAAAAATATCTACTAATCATAATTTGTGGTTGATACGGTTTTTCCAGGAAAAAGTTCAATTACCTGGTTAAAAATTCTTTAAATTACATCTACTCACTCTCACTGCCTCCCAGGTTTCACTCTTTTGTTTCAAACTACTGGACACAACCCGTCTTCACCTTCACTGCAAGTCCATTCTTAGTATACAGTATGCGCGCTGGAGGTTTCAAGTTTTCACATTACTCTTGTGTAACCTGCTTACTGCACCCGTGTCACAGAATCCTGCTCATACAAAGTGTACATGTCTTAAACTGAGATTTAAGGTGAGCACTTGGAAACTTTCCCCCTCTTCAGCAGATGAATGCGCACATGTCCAAGCCTTCTAGTGCCAAACTCTGCACATACATCACTCGCGCAGAGAAGGTCAAACATCCACGTGAAGTAACAATAAGCAGAACACATTCCTCAGTGGAGGGGGTCTTCAATAACAAACATACAAACACAAACATGAACATGTTTATGTCAGGCAATATATGAAAATTCAAGTGACATTCTCACCCAGGTCCAACACATGATCACATGTCTATTTTTAAGTGATTACTCTTAATGTGTATCTCAGTCAGAGGAGTGTCCCAAATGTAACAACTTTAGAAAACTTTCAAAAAGTAGGAATTTATTTACTGATGTGTAAAAACAATGGTTGTTTTCGCTAAATGCACAGAAAGATGCATTAAAAACTGTAACAAATCTAATTATCTGTCTATCAACTGATCTGACAGCTGCTGAGAATCTGATGGGGATTTTTTTCAAATCACACATCAGAAATGATCGTCTGAGCCAGGATTATCAGCCATGGCACAATGTTTCTGTATATGAGTTTATTTCATTAGACAATGATACATATTCAGCTCTGGTATCACCACTGGAGAACAAAGAGGAAGAAACATGTGAATTGTAAGATTACATTTACGCTGAGCTACTGGTATTTTAGCCTTAGGTCAACCCACTGCCAGAAACAATAAGTCAAGATCCCTCCAAGTAAATGTGGTTTTGAGGTCAAATACAGTGAGATTCATTATGTTGTATAAAAATAAAGTCTGACCTAACTTGTTAAAACATAATTTATGCACTTATCTTGAGTTGAGCAATTGTCCAGGGAAACCAGAGTTTGTGGTTACTTAAACTTGATATTAACATTTCCCACTGCAAGCAGCTATCTCTGCTTTTTTTTTTCCCTTTCTTTTTTTTCAAATCTGATCTGAAAAGTTTTTCTTGACTTCCCTGTCCCTTCCCCTGTGAGGCTGACATCACAGTGAGAATATGAGAAGGCAATGGAAAATAACCCAAAGCCAAGGTACACATCCACCCTGTGTGCTCTGTGTGGTGTGTATGAGGATGTTGTCCTGTCAAAAAACTTGTCCTTTTCATCAGCCACAACATCTCCAAACAAGCTTGT